TTTCTTTTCTGCTGAGATGTTCATGTTAATTATTCTGCTTGTCTTCCTTCTTTTCTCCATTTGATAACCATTAACAGAAATACAAACCAAGACCAAGACCTAAGTGTTTCATAAGCCAATGATTTAAAAGTCCTTTTAAAATTTTACAATAAATTTGGATACTTTTGCTCAGCTGGTAGTACCTTTCAGTTTTTATTCACTATCAATTCTGACTTTTGAATGACATCAGTGATAACCTAGCCAAGTTTTATTTGTATTTTCTAAGCTGTGAGGTAGAAAAAAGTCATATATCTATATACACACATATGTATATATGTATCCATAAGTATATGTATATAGGTGCATGTGTGTGTATGTAATATGTATTTAGTCTCCTTCCTGAGAGCTCTTTTTGAGGAAAATTATCCCCACTTACATGAGGCTGAGACATAAAACCACAGTACTCCTGCCTGATCATGTCATAGGACCCACCAAGTACAACAACAAAAGCTACTGGCTGCCAGAATATAGTCTTATATTCTGAAAGTTTTAAAAACAGTTTTTAATTTTACTTGCACTTATAAGAGTGAGAAGATTGTCATATGTCATTTTATTGATGATTAGAACAGATATGCTCAATATATCAAAAGATTTCTTTCTTCCCAAAGTGCCAATGAAAATGCGCCATTTTCCTTTACGTTCATGAGTATTATCCCTGTGCTGTTGATGATAATACTCACCTTTTTCTGCTGTTTAAAATTCTTATGTAAGAAAAACAGCTTTTTACTGAGTACATGTGTCTTCACTGTGTTGAATCTGTCCTTCTGTTTCCTGGGACCCAGATTGTCTTTGCTTAAAGCTTTTGCCTGTTAACTGCAAACCAGAGGCTTCTGTGATGAGTTTCTTTTTTTTTTTTACTCACTTTGACTGACATTGTGCTAATATTTTGCACCATCTACTCCACCTCAATTTCAGGTCCTCACACTACAGCTGCCTCCATATTTGTTTGCAGGATTGCTCCATATACGCCTTTGTGTCTAAGCAATCAACGCCAAGGGTGCAAGCGTGGGCTGCTCACAAGCATCTTTCGTGCTCCCTGACCTTGTGCCTGACATTCCCAATTCAGTTCCTCATTTCTGTGCTTCTTTAAAATGCCCTGTTAGTGTTGGGTTTGCTGTGGTCTAGGTTTGGATGAGGTGAGGGGACTTTCTCTGAGTTTGCTAGTGACAGATGAAGGGTCTGTCCATGTGGGGGTGCACTGAAGTCTGAGAATGGAATATTATCCAGAGAAATATTGATATTTATGAGAGAGATGTTAGGATGATATCACAATGGTAAAACAGCACATTTCTAAACAACTGCCTAGCTTTGATATCTGACTGGAAAATGTGTGAGGAGTAAGGTCAAGTTGCAAAAGTAAGAATATTTTAGTTAGCCATAATGCTGTTTTGTTCTCCCCATAGCTTTGTGATGTACATCTCAATATATCATCATAAGAGATTGTCACTGATATTTCTATTATCTAAACAATCCAATTTTGAGGATTTAGGGTTTCGATCAGTCAGGATCAGCTGATAATGCTGAGAGAACAAATTCTTTCTGCAGTCCCAGTGGTTTCCCAAAATAATGGTTTCTTGCTTGTTTGCACTCATTTGGGATTTGGGGAGAAGGTGGGGCTCTGCTCTACACAGCCCCCAGGGGCCAGGTGAGGACTTGCCTTAATAGAGAAGAAGAACACAGTGGAAACCTGGGCTTGCTCTTTGGCTTCAGCCTGGAAGTAACGCACATCATTTTTGCTCACAGCCCATGGTGAGAACAAGCCACTTCACCCTGCCTATTTGCAAGGGAACTGGGAAGTGTGGTCAAGCATAGGGATATTTGGTGAGCAGTCAAGATTTCTACAACAGTCAGCTCTTGTGGTTACTAAAATATCTTAGTTCCCTTAACACACAAAGAACACGCTCAACCCATCTCCCAAGATTCCTTCAGTCATTACATGCAGTCCAAGGTTCCCAAACTCTAGGTTTTATGTAGTTGTCTTATCTCTACTACATATCCACATGTGATCCTTTTGCTCTGGAGATGTATAAACAAAAATAGAAATTTTTTATGACCCCCCCTTCAACAACACACCAATAGTAGATGAGGAACAGAGTAGCCACAAAAAATACTCCCATTCAGAAAGGGAAGGATGGGAAGATAGGTGGTAGTCGCTGAGCCCAGTAATTCTGAAATCTCACTGGACAGATGTGGCAAAGACCTCCTTACAATGAAGGTAAGAAGGGTAATAATAATAATAATAATAATAATAATAATAATTACTATTATTACTATTATTGCTTTTCTCTGATTTCTGGGAAAAGATTCCTATTTCTTTGTTCTCCAGGACCCCAGCACCTCAGTCTGAGAGGTTCTTGTTTTTCTTTCATTATACTCCTTGATCACATCCAAAATGAGAATTATAGATTATGTCCTCAGTTGAAATTGAAATTTCAATTTTAATTTTAATTTCTGTTTTACCTGGGTCACAGCAAACATCCAGTTCTTTGAGTAGCAATATGCACTCAAGAAACCACACAACCACTGGGTTAAACATTTATAAATTCTAGCATTTATTTCCTCAAAAGGCTAAGTGGATAAACAAGCTAAAATAAAATAAAATAAAAAAGTGAGAAAGTGGTGTACAAACTGAATCTCCAAATTAGTCAGTCTTCCCCTGTCTGGACCTCTGCTGAATGTCTTGAGCTTGTTGTCATTTCAAGGTTTTCTGGAGAGAGTCAAAGAGCCAAAATCACGGCTGCTCCATCATTGATGTGGCAGGTCAGATGTTCCTTCCAGCTGGGAGCTGGATAGTATCGATATACCTCACATTCTATTCATTCAAAGTCACAACATTAAGAGATGCATCATTAAGCTGTATGATCCTAGATCGCTATATTCTAATATGCCCTGGGCAAGGTAGCCATATGCTTGTCAAAGTAACCCATTTCTTTTGGAGCAACATGAAAATGTTTAACATCAAATTCAGTTCACATCTAGCCAATTTTCCACTTAAGGCAGGTGCAAGCAAGTGGTTACAAACAGGATGAAGCATGCTTGATGATATTTTGAACATACATACCTCAAC